CTCATATCCTATACTCCAATTTGTATTTTCTGAGGGATAGTAATATTGCTGTAGCCGTTGCATGCTAAATGAACACTTCCGTCCGATCACCAGTATCAGCGGGAATCGTACAAGAACTAGAGTGTTCGTTCAGTAAATGGAACGTTCGTACATGAATATGTCAAAGCGGGAAACGTTCAGTGACGTCCAACCGTCCAATCACAATCCATGGATTGGTGAGAGGTTCCAATCACCCAATCACCGTGTATATGGACAGGGATGGAGAGACTATAGCTGTTGTAGCTGAGTGGGGTACACCCAGCATGAACAATCATGTTGGACTAGGGGCGACGAGACGAGGACCATTGTGTGTCCAGTACATCCTTTGTACCACAGCACGTGGAACCCTTTGTACCACAGCACGTGGAACACTTTGTACCACAGCACGTGGAACACTTTGTACCACAGCACGTGGAACACTTTGTACCACAGCACGTGGAACACTTTGTACCACAGCACGTGGAACACTGTACCACAGCACGTGGAACACTTTGTACCACAGCACGTGGAACACTTTGTACCACAGCACGTGGAACACTTTGTACCACAGCACGTGGAACACTTTGTACCACAGCACGTGGAACACTTTGTACCACAGCACGTGGAACACTTTGTTCCTAATGCTGTGGTACTTTTCGTTCTATTATTTTTCGTACTATTCTAACTGTTCCAGTTTTTGCGCATACAGCATCCTCCTCCTCTATCTTATCTTTGTCCGTCCTCTCAAGTTACTACAACATCACTAAAATCTATTCAACTGCCCGAACCTAACCTAACCGAGTCCCAACGAATAGAAAACGGAACAGCCCGCCAATTTTGCGAGGCGCTTATGATTTTCAGTACAGCTTATTTTGATATTTGGGGATTTATTCGTCAAAATGCTATGTATTGTTGGAAAGAACAGGTTGAGCTATCTATGATTTGTTATTAAAGTAAAACAGGAAAAGGAACGCCTAGTAGACTATCTTCTGAGACTCATACGACGATGAGTCAATAAGTGAATCAAAGAGTTAAAAAGTGAATCAAGAGTCAAGAGAATAAGTGACTCAGGGAAGATGTACAGGTTTCGCTAATGTCTCAGTGTGTCAATTTTGGTACATTTTTTATCGTTAAAAATTAATGTAATTCGCAAATTGCATAAATTTATGCACTTCATCATTGCATAAATGCCAGATGAATCCTGCCTCTATGTCTACGTGCTTGAAGGTGTGGAGTAACAGTGGCTTGGACCGTGGCTATCTTAAAATACAATCTTTCTATCTTATATAATCTATATAGGGTAGTAAGGAAACGTGATTTCCAATTAATCTTTCCATCTTAAAATACAATCAAAACTAATCTTTAAGAGGTTAACAGCATAAGATGCAACTGCAGCTTTTGTTCACTTGGTTGCTGCTTATCTGTGGTCCTCGACGATCTTGAACAGGAACTGCTGTTCCTCCCTGATTGACTCGTTGAATTGCTTTACCTGGTAAATGCTCCGTTCTGCAGTGTAATGCTTCACTTGAAGGGCATTGATGGAGCTTCTTGGTGAATCACTGCAGCATTCCTCCACGTCACTGACCCTGAACAATCCAAGGAATGTCTTTGTACCGCAGGTGACGAAGCCGCTCAGGTTTTTCCTTTGAAAAAAAAGTAGATTTTTCCCCTCAAATCATCTAAATTCTTTCTTCCATTCCGGCTTCTCCAAGTTCTGGAACATTTCTTCTTTCTCTGCCAGAGTAATCCGTTTATCCAGGAAAGCCAATCCAACATTCGTTCCGCATTCAAAGATGTCACTTTAGATTCACTTTGAAGTCACTGACTTTAAAACTTTCTCTGCCAGAGTAATCCGTTTATCCAGGAAAGCCAATCCAACATTCGTTCCGCATTCAAAGATGTCACTTTAGATTCACTTTGAAGTCACTGACTTTAAAACTCACTCCTTGGCGTTATCCGGGAAACAGTTCATAAGTTGTATAAAGTCCAAGTCATTATTCTTTGGTACCCAAAGACTCACAATGCAAAAAACAGACATAAATACTTTACTTTTATCATTCCCTTAAATTTCCGATCGGTTAACTCCTTGAACATACACATCAAGAGGTGTATCATGTGCCATACACATCAAGAGGTGTATCATGTGCCATACACATCAAGAGGTGTATCATGTGCCATACACATCAAGAGGTGTATCATGTGCCATACACATCAAGAGGTGTATCATGTGCCATACACATCAAGAAGTGTATCATGTGCCATACACATCAAGAAGTGTATCATGTGCCATACACATCAAGAAGTGTATCATGTGCCATACACATCAAGAAGTGTATCATGTGCCATACACATCAAGAGGTGTATCATGTGCCATACACATCAAGAGGTGTATCATGTGCCATACACATCAAGAAGTGTATCATGTGCCATACACATCAAGAAGTGTATCATGTGCCATACACATCAAGAAGTGTATCATGTGCCATACACATCAAGAGGTGTATGGCCTGTACCATACACCTCGCTTGCTGGACGGCTCCTGAATTTGAACTCGCTTTTAGACCAACATCCAAAAAACAGAGTAGGAGGGGAAGGGGGGGGGGGAGAGAAACATATGTAAAAACCCTTTATAATCTTCTTGTCGATGGTTTGCATCTTGCAAGACTTTCTGATAATAGTCAACCATTTTCACATGTTGGTGTTTTGAAAACCCTTGAATGGGTTCCATTACGTTCACTATGGACGTGTTTGACTTCTTACTGACCAATATTTTTAAACTTACGAGTGTGATAAAAGTGTGCAACCCCTGAATAGTACATATTTAGCATAATATTTTGCATAGTGTGCAATGCACTTCGATTAATAGCACCAAGAGGAGCAAAGTGACGCGAAAACAGGAACTTCGGAAAAGTGGAGCACCTTATATCTGGATGAACAACCCAGCGGGTTTTCTTCCTATTGGGGAGTGTTGTACATGCTGCTATGGTGGTATGTCCACTCACAGGATGAGTGGCGCTGCCCAATACTGTCACTATGGCGGTGTGTCCACTCACAGGATGAGTGGCGCTGCCCAATACTGTCACTATGGCGGTGTGTCCACTCACAGGATGAGTGGCGCTGCCCAATACTGTCACTATGGCGGTGTGTCCACTCACAGGATGAGTGGCGCTGCCCAATAAACTCGCCCCTCGTGGCAAAATTTAATTTAAATTTACTTATTCTGGATCATTTAGCTCCCCCAGACCACCAATCAGGAGCCCGTGGGGCCACTGATCCTCTTGAGCCATCTTAAGGTAGCCTTAACGTTAGGTAACCACCTTCACTTTGTCCTCCTTCATGCCTTTGACTTCTCAATTCATCCAGATGACACATGTTTTTTTGCTGTCATTCACTGGGAAGAGTTCAAGGAACACTACACTTTGCAAAGTCCTAGTTTATTGTGCTCTCCTGCTCCGCTCCCCTCCCCCCCACACACACATACACCCTGTACACCAGTCTTTTTTAAGGCTAGAGAGCTAAGAACTGTAGCTCGTTCCTCTTCAGTAAAGCAAGATCAGCTTTCACACATTCACACAAACTAGTCTATATCCTCTACATTTTTCCTCTTTTCTTGCCTATTACCTCCCCCCCCCCCCTCTTTCTCTCTCACATTCACTCAGCAAGATATCAAGATAACGTGCGGAAGACTGGTCATGGAGCGTGATATACGAGGTGGTGGCTTGATGGGTGTGTACTTTATTTAATACCACGTTACAATCACATGAGGGGTGATATTGGAGCCATCTGGCCCTTTAGCTTGTATTTGGGGATATTCTTTTCTCTCCCTTCCTTTCCCTCTTCCTTCCGTTCTTTCTCTCCTCCTCCTCCTTTACCGGCCCCTCATCTCTCCATAGCTACTGCCGGCCTAATTCGATTGTTCTCGAGCGTATCACTAACTCAGCTACACAATCAGCTTTGCCACAGCCCCCCCCCCCAACACCCCCGACAATCATGGGGGTTTGTCAAGCTCGCCGATAACGGATGCCAATAAGAGGCGTAAGCTACCCACGACCATCATCAGGGAAGACATACAAGCCAGTTAGCCCTGGTGACAAAATACCCGCCGATTTAACTCACCTCGCCAACCCGGCCATTACCGAGCACCTTGTTCGCGCCACACCACCGTCTTTAGTGTGTAATTCTCTCCCTAATTATCCCAAATTCACCTTTACGACAACAAAATACTACGTCATCACTTGCTATCAATTTAACGTTCTTATGGCATATCGGAAGCCATGATAATATCCCCCCCAATCGCGTACATTGTTATCAAGAGGTTCTGTTATCGCCCCGATAAAGCGCCTCTCTTCTAGCTTAGTATCCCCGTTTAATGCGAACTTTCAGTTACCCAAAAGCCTCATTATGCGGAGGGGGGTTCGATCGGTTCGGAATCCGCTTCCGAGTTGCATGTCCGATCCGGCTAATGCGTCAGGCAGTTGGCGGATCGAGTGGGATCCCGGCCACAGACATCCACTTAGCGAAGTGACAAGTTGAGGCCAAATAAGAGGGTGCGGCATCATTCTGAGCGCCCCACGAGGATGTGATCACTTAGGTGTTAACACGTGGGTTACAGAGTGCGAGGAAGGGTGAGGTGCATCCGGTGCTGGCCACAGGGTGTCCCCCACCAACGCAGCTCTCCATAGGGTGTAGGTGTGTAGCACCATGTACATATATACACTTGCTTCTTGTGTGTGAGTCTTCATCCCTATGTAGCTGTTGTGGATTCCGTAGGTGTATGCTCTATGGGGGTGGGGTTACAAGCCTGTTTATCTGCAGGCGAGGAGTGACAATAACGTGGCTAAAGTATGTTGACCAGACCACACACTAGAAGGTGAAGGGACGACGACGATTCGGTCCGTCCTGGACCATTGTCAAGTCGATTGAGAATGGTCCAGGACGGACCTAAATGTCGTCGTCCCTTCACTTTCTAGTGTGTGGTCTGGTCAACTGTCTTTATCTGTTCGCTTGTAGCGACTGCAGATGGAATTTACAGAATATGGCATTGGTACACAAAGTTGTTGCGTCTCTGGCGTCAGTTGCTGCGTCTCTAGCGTCAGTTGCTGCGTCTCTAGCGTCAGTTGCTGCGTCTCTAGCGTCAGTTGCTGCGTCTCTAGCGTCAGTTGCTGCGTCTCTGGCGTCAGTTGCTGCGTCTCTGGCGTCAGCTGCTGCGTCTCTAGCGTCAGTTGCTGCGTCTCTAGCGTCAGTTGCTGCGTCTCTGGCGTCAGTTGCTGCGTCTCTAGCGTCAGTTGCTGCGTCTCTAGCGTCAGTTGCTGCGTCTCTAGCGTCAGTTGCTGCGTCTCTAGCGTCAGTTGCTGCGTCTCTAGCGTCAGTTGCTGCGTCTCTAGCGTCAGTTGCTGCGTCTCTGGCGTCAGTTGCTGCGTCTCTGGCGTCAGCTGCTGCGTCTCTAGCGTCAGTTGCTGCGTCTGTGGCGTCAGTTGCTGCGTCTCTAGCGTCAGTTGCTGCGTCTCTAGCGTCAGTTGCTGCGTCTCTAGCGTCAGTTGCTGCGTCTCTGGCGTCAGTTGCTGCGTCTCTGGCGTCAGTTGCTGCGTCTCTAGCGTCAGCTGCTGCGTCTCTAGCGTCAGTTGCTGCGTCTCTAGCGTCAGTTGCTGCGTCTCTAGCGTCAGTTGCTGCGTCTCTAGCGTCAGTTGCTGCGTCTCTAGCGTCAGTTGCTGCGTCTCTAGCGTCAGTTGCTGCGTCTCTAGCGTCAGTTGCTGCGTCTCTGGCGTCAGTTGCTGCGTGCACAGGATGCGTCTTGTTCCTCTACGCGTGTCATTCCCACCGTAGTTCATCTCTGTTAGTCTACCGTGAATGCCAACCTCTGGTCCAGAGTATAGCAATTTGGTGTCGACAAGAGGGATACACCGCACGGAACGATGTGTCGAACATTTCGAACATTTATTTCGAACGTTTATGCATTGATTTTTTTTTGCCTTTAAATTCTTACTAATCATAACTCCCAGATCCCTTTCGTAATCCGACTTGGCAATCTCAACACCATCTAGCTCGTATCTTGTAACTCTTATCATCATTACCTAGCCTCAAAACCTTGCATTTGTCATCACTTTAAACTGCATCTGCCAATCTTTTGACCATTTCAAAACCCTATTTAGATCGTTCTGAAGTGATAGCGAGTCGTCTTCCATCCCGATTTTGATATCTTCGACAAATTTACAAATATTGCTGCTCAAATCTGAATGTAGATTATTTATATATATACATCATGAATAAGAGAGATGCCAGGAAAAACAAAATTTGGTCTGAAGCAATTGTGCAAGGATTCTTACTTTCTAGTGAGAAAGAAACGTCGTCGTCCCTTCAACTTCTAGTGTGTGGTTTGGTCAACATTCTTACTTTCTGTTCACTGTCATAATTATCACTGTTTTAACAGTGTACAACAGTGATGGTGTTACTCCTTTGTTCAGGCTCCTGAGTGGTCAACAGTGCATTGTTTTGACCAATCATCTCTCATTAAACTGTTCCTCGTTTTCGAGGGGAAAGAAGATAGTTTGTGTGTTTATTTTCACACGTCATCTCACGACAGATGCACATTAAGGCTCAGTTACATTTAATCCTTGAATATAAACTGTGTAAGATGTTAAATGAATTAGAATGTCAATGAAGATATCGCAGAGGAGGGAAAGAGTGTGTGTGTGTGTGTGTGTGTGTGTGTGTGTGTGTGTGTGTGTGTGTGTGTGTGTGTGTGTGTGTGTGTGTGTGTGAGTGAAATTAAGTGCTTTAGCAGCCCGTTTGTCTTACCTGAAAAAGGTGTATTGATTTAATGATCGTCACTTCCATACTCGAGTGAGAACGGGCTATCAAACACACACCCCTCCCCCCAACTCTATCTCACTCACACACACACACACACACACACACACACACACACACACACACACACACACACACACACACACACACACACAAACACACACCGTTGTACCCACCTACTGAGTTCCACCTTCCCTCTTCCATTGACATGAAATTTACTTTCTTTGGTCTATTGAATTAGTCCTTTCCTATTCACTCTGGTGATATCTCTCTCACCTTTCTCCAGCAAAGATATGAACTCGGCGCTGCATACCCCAGAATTGGTCTGACATGCGTGCAATTGGTCTGACATTAAGGCACTCCAGGAGTTTTTCTCTTCCCAGGTGGCGCCTTCTTTTAGTCTTGGCTCCTGCACACATCTTCATTACTTTGCATTTGCTGGAGTTCAACTCTAGCAGTCACTTGTTTGGTCATTCTTGAACAGTCAAAATCTTACTTACTATCTTCTTTCGTGTGTGTGTGTTAACCTAGTTATACACACCAAGTTGTGCTTGCGAGGGTTGAGCTCTGGCTCTTTGATCCAGCCTCTCAACTGTCAACTGATGTATGTATGTAATTATGATAGCAGGTCAGGCCGTCCGCCTTGCTGATACGACGACTCAATGTGTGTGTGCTCACCTTGCTCTGCTTGCGGGTTGAGCTTCAGCTCCTTGGTCCCGCCTCTCAACCGTCAATCAACTGGTGTATGGATTCCTGAGCCTACTGGGCTCTATCATATCTACATTTGAAACTGTGTATGGAGTCAGCCTCCGCCACATCACTGCCTAATGCATTCCATTCTTTAACTACTCTGACACTGAAAAAGTTCTTTCTAACGTCCCTGTGGCTCATGTGGGTACTCAGTTTCCACCTGTGTTCCCTTGTTCGCGTACCACCCATGCTAAAGTTTACCTTTATCTACCCTGTCAATTCCTCTGAAAAATTTTTAGGGAATGATCATGTTTCCCTTAACTCTTCTGCCTTCCAGTGTCGTGAGGTTCAGTTCCAGTAATCTTTCTAGTAACCTTTTCTAACTTCGTTTTGTGTTTGACTAGATGTGGACTCCATGCTGGAGCCGCATATTCCAGTATTGGTCTGACATATGTGGTATACAAGGTTCTGAATGATTCCTTACAAAATTTTCTGAATGCAGTTCTTATGTTCGCCAGCCTTGCATACACCCCTAATGTTATAATTTTGATGTGGGCTTCAGGGGACAGATCTGGTGTGATATCAACCCCCAGATCTTTCTCTCGTCCTGACTCCTGAAGGATTTCCTCTCTCAGCTGGTACCTTGTGCTTGGCCTCCTGCTCCCTACGCCTATCTTCATCACTTTGCACTAGCCCGAGTTAAACTCTAGTAGCCATTTCTTGAACCATTCCTTCAGTCTGTCCAGGCCATCCTGTAGGCTCTTGCTGTCCTGCTCTGTCTTAATCTTCTCATAATTTTAGCATCATCAACAAACATTGAGAGGAATGAGTCTATAACTTCTGAAAGATCATTCACATATATCAGAAACAGGATAGGTCAGAGTACAGAGCCCTGTGGGACTCCACTGGTGATAATTCGCCAGTCTGAGGTCTCACTCCTCACAGTAACTCTCTTCCATTTAAAAAGGAAGCAGAGAGTTCCTTTTGGTCGAGCAGAGTGTGTTTGGTTGAGTTCCTCTATCGACACACAGACACACCTGTGTGTCTGTGTGTCGCACACGCACACATTTTCAGGAAGTAGCCCGTAGCAGCTGTCTAACTCCCAGGTACCTATTTACTGCTAGGTGAAGTGATATCAGGTTAAAAAAATTCTTCCCATTAGTTTCTGTCTCCTCCGGGAATCGAACTCGGGTCCTTAGGACTACAACCCCCCAAGTATGTGTGTGTGGAAGGGAGAGCAGGAGAGTCCAAGCGTGTGTCTATATATACTCAACACTGTTCTTGACATGTTCTGGGGGTCTATTTACTAACGAGCCAACCAGCCTATTCGTCTGGCCATAAAGATGGCTAATCAGCCACTCTGTCAGGTAGAGATTGACGCCATAACTCGCCTTAGTTACTGTCTCGTTGGCTACCTTATGTTGGTATATAGGTGAGGGAGAAGCTATAGGGGGGTGTTTATGAGAGAGAGAGAGAGGGGGGGGGGGAGAGAGAGAGGTGAGAGTGAGTGAAAGAGTGTGAGTGTGGGTGAGTGTGAGGGAGTGTGTGTTAGTGTGTGTGTGTGAGTGAGTGTGCGTGCGTGCGTGCGTGTGTGTTAGTTTTACACCCTTTCCTAACTATTTCCCTCCCTCCCTCCCTCACTGCTCTCTACCCTACCAGCACGTCCCCGGAACACCGCAGGTGAGACCAATCCAATACCGCACGCTCGGCCTGCCTCAGACCACCACCACGCCTGTTATCAACATTTCACACACACACACACACACACACACACACACACACACACACACACACACACACACACACACACACACACACACACACACACACACACACACACACACACACACACACACACACACACACACACTAGGTGACTGAACCTGGCTAACTGGCCAGCAATGACAGGTGGGTGAAGCTCATTTGGTGGCTTAGCCAATCAGTACCTGGGTTATACCTGTACTCTAACGAGGAAACAGGTAACCCGTGCCCTGTCACCTGGATTAGACAGGGAAGTCGACACGTCAACTATGCTTTGTCACCTTCTGTTCATGACAAAATTAGTGCATTACTGGGTGTAAATATCGACAGAAAATGTAAACAAAAATATCAGATCTCTTTAAATAACTGTGAATGAGTTATAAATAATATCGTCAGACGACTAAACGCTCAATAGAGCTCAATAGAGCAAGAGTACCATCCAATCCGTCCGCTTAAAAATAACGTCACTTTTGACTCGTATGCGCACTATGGCCAAAAGTGGACGTAATTTGAAATGAAATCGACTCACAAAAGTAACGTACTGTCCCGTTTTCTATTTGAGTCGTCCGGCTTACTCGGTAAGGTTAGAAGAGGAAACATTCAATTAACGTTTTTCATAACGTTTTGAAACTTTATGAGAATTTCCTGCCCACCTAACCTATCAGAGGATTTTAACTTACTATTGTTGAAAAAAAAAATCCCAATTTTTTTTTACATTTTCATATTACGTCCACTTTCGGCCATACTGGTAAACGCCAAAAGCGACGTTATTTTTAAGAAGACAGGTTGCCAATCACCGAAAGCAGTTCTAGGGTTGGATAAAGACAACCTTCAAACAAGGGCTGTCACTCTAGGACAGTTCTATTTCTATTCAAGAAATGTTCTATTTCAAGAAATGTTCTATTTCAAGAAAGGTTCTATTCCCGTCGCTGGCAATCTATGTCAAGAGTATTATGTCCTCACAAGACCTCTTCAAGTCGAGCTTCGTTTCCAACCTAAAATATACAGAGAACTAACTTAGACCGCCTTAGACTTATCTTCCAGGGTCCGCGTTCGATTCCCGATGGGCCAAGTGGTTGGGCCGCCCTCATATCCGAGCGCCTTGTCCTCATAGCCCTTTCTAGTTCTATACAGTCATAACTGGCTTGGTGCTTTCTCATAATTATCTTGGACCGCCTCAAAGCACTGGTTGTGCTCTCTAGAAAGTTGGCGAGAGATACTCCATAATCTATACATAGAAAAGGCTTACTAGAACAAATCCACAAGGGCCATGACGAGGATTCGAACCTGCGTTCAGGAGCATCCCAGACACTGCCTTAATCGACTGAGTTACGACAGGGTAAAATATTTGAAACCGAAGTTCTACTGAAGTTACTGGATCCCGTAGCCTCTCCGAGGCACAAACCAGGGTTTTACACAACTTCCCCCTGCACCTGAGCTATGTCAATAGGCCTCCTCGTCGAATGGAGTCGAATCCTCGTCACGGCCCTTGTGGATTTGTTCATTTGATGCATCACGTTAGTGTGATCTCTGAGTGTTAGGCTTACTGGTATGAGAGAGAAGTTAGGAA